TTTATAGAGAGTAAAATGTTAGAACTACTTTATTATAGAATGAATGATTTAGTAACTCAAAAAATTATAAAATTAATATAAAAGTTAATAAGTTATAAGTTTATCTTAAAAGAATTATCTTAAATCTTAAATTTTCTACACACGACCCCAAGTAAGATTAAATATAATACAAGAAGTTAGTTTTGTGAAAACATGATGAAAATATGATTTGAATCTTTCTTAATTGAAATATTCACATTTAATGATTAACATATATTAAACATGATCATTTCTATAAAAAATTACAAGAAGAAAATGTTCATCTAAAAGGCTAAAATAGAAAATTCAAATCCACGTGAGAAAATAATTAAAAAATTAAAAAATAAAGTTTAAAAGTTGTACTACTACTCAAAATATAATTTATTTTTTTTATTAATCACTTTGGATTAGGAGTAAAATACAAAAACAGGAAGAAAAATATGTAAATTATGGAAATAAAAAAATTAGTGAAAAATATATGTTACTTAAATGAATAAAATAAGTGATTTTTTTTCTTTTACTTGATTGGATGTACATAAATAAATAAATTATAAGTATATTATAAAAATATAAAAAGATATAATTTTTTCCTAATTTCATTCCAATTTAAAAGAAAAGTGTTTCTAGGAGTTCAAACACAAATATTTTGTCTGCTTTCAATATGTCATTTTAAATAAAAAAGTTTAATAGTAATATTTACATCTCATCTTTCATCTTTGATTACTAACAAGCACATGGATCAATAGGTATAATATTATTTCAAGTTAATTAATAGACTCAAATTTAAGTTCTAAATATGTAATTGAAATACTCAAAATAAGAATTTTGTTATTCATAATAGTCCTACTATAACATTAAGTCCCTCTTTTTTCTTTTTCTCTTCATGGGCCCTGGGAGTGTTTGAAAATGTTGGGGGTTGAAGTGTTCCTTCCTTCTCTGTGGCTGACCCGTGAAAGAGGAAAAACAAGTTGTGGTGATGGTGGGGTGCTATCTTGGAAGTTTGGAGGTTGATGAATTTTCTTATCCTTTTTCATTTCTCTTCTCTTCTTTACACGACTGGAATCTAGGTGAGGGGAGTTAGAATTTAATTTTCTTTTGTGGAATTGGTGTTACATGCACCTTGATTCTAATTGAGTGCTTGCTGGTTTGCTTAATTTGGAGTAGGTGTTCGACTTGGAAGAACTTGGTGTCCTTGATAAAAAAAAGAAAGATTTGATGATCTAATTATTGTATTATGGTTTCATACTTGTTTTTCTTCAAAATCCAAGTTATATGTTGCTAATGGGGGAGAAATACTAAATTTGGAAGCATGAATTATTGGTTGGGTGAGAGGATTCTAGAGATTTGACAGGGTTCTTAGTTGTTAGGTCTATTATTCATGAATTGTAGAAAAAACTCTACACTCATTACTTTAAATACTCCAAATAAAAGGTTTAAATAGAGATCCAACGCTGCAGCAACGAAATGGGCACTTCAACAGTGAAAAACATGGTCTAATAGAGATCCAATGCTACACCTATGGGGAAAAACTAGGCTGGCAAAGATTCAGTGCCAGAATTGCAATTGAGCATTGTAGCTGTGGGAGAAAAATTAGGCCAGCAAAAATCCAACGTTGAAGCGTCGGATTGAGCATTATAGCAGTAGGGGTAAATGATCAAATTTGGTCTTGGAATCTTCATAAAAGTTGTAATCTTGGATGTTATCTTTCTAATGACTTTAAAATCACCTAAAAATGAGGTCTATAATTATAATTATGACTTTTTTAGTGAGTAAAGGTCAAACTGTCAATATTTAGGCTGGTTTTTGCAATTTTTATAATTTTCAACATGGTAGATGATGGAATTGAAACCTAAAGTCTTCATGAAAGTTATAGAAAATCTTCTTGTCTTTCATATGAGATAAGGATGAACATCATAGAAGTAATAGAACTTTCTATGCGTTGTTTTTTGTGAAGGTTGTCATTGTACACTAAGTGATTTTTATAAGTTGTATGATGGGTAATTTTGGTGAACATGGATAAAATACTTGTGTCTATTACATGTTATGTGATGTAGGATGATGATAATAAGCATTAGTGTGTTAAATTTGTGTAGTTAAAATGGTGATGAGCATTGATATGCTATTATTGAATGAATTGTTGATCATTGATATGCTATATTTGAATGAATTGTTAAGCATTATTATATTATTCTTGGTTGAAGTGTTAAGTATTGGCATGCTATACATGATTGATGTTTTTGATCTCTATATGCATTGATTGGATGTGATGTATATAGTAGATATATGGTGAGGTGTAGATGTTGAAAATGTAATGTGGCATTAAAGCATGTTGACTAACTTAGGACTTGAGGATAGGGAATTATTTTGAAAACGAAAGATCCTACATAGGCTATCTTGGAGTGATGCTTGGCTAGGCCATTGTTGAAAAACCTTCCTCGAGTAGGTGTGTCTTTTGTAGTGGTTTTTTTTAGATGTGTCGAGTCTCCTATAGATCCTTAGTTAATGGTTGAGTATAGTAGGAGGTCGAGGGGCACAACTCTTAACCAAGTACCTTAAAAGGTTACGTGGCTTCTTTAGGATAATAAGTGGGGGGATTCTATATGTGACTTGGTAATGCATGTCAAGGTCGTAGTAAACTTATACCCATTTGTACTATTCCTAATAGTGAAATTAGACTTTTCTAATGCAAGTGATAAAACTCGAGAAACCAAATGAAAGATTAATATCTTATTTTTGTTGTGATTGAGCTGGTGCTTCAGGTGTGAAAATGATCAGGTTGGGTCGATAAGGTGAAAATCACTTAAACTACTCACATTGTTAAGAGATATATGTAGGTGATTACGTAATAATGCATTGGATGACATGTTTGCACATGAAGTGTGTTGAGGTGTGTTAATATACATTGTTGATGTCTTGTGTGACATGGTTTAGACGAGATACAAGTTTTCTTGGAGTATTGTAGCTTTCATTCATAATTGTAGTTTTCATGTATGATTGTAGCGTGATGTTGTATATTATATGATTATTTTCTATATAGATACATGTTTTCAAACTCTAGTTTACCTTTTCTATTTTCCATGGTGGTTTAGATTGCAATGATCATAAGTTGTATGAGATTAGATCAATGCTAGGTTTGAGGAACTGCTGTTGGTAGTAGGCATGGCAACGGGGCGGGGCGGGGGCGGGTTTTACGTCCCCCGCCCC